ATATATATATATATATTTTCTATCTATCTATTTATCTATGTATCTATCTATCTATCTATCTACCTATCTATCTATCTATCTATCTATTAATCTATCTACGTATCTATCCATCTGTATCCCAGGAATGCACTACGGACATCCGGACTTCCTGGACGGCTTCTGGGCCTCCAACCGGGGCTCCTTGTCAAAGGCGAGCCCGGCCATCAACCTCTCAGAGGCCTCCCGAGCTGTGCTTTTAGGGTTTAGGGTTTTAGGGTTTAGTAAGCCCTAAAACTCCAAACCCTAAACCCTAAATTAGAGTTTAGGGTTTGGGGTTTTAGGGTTTCGGGCTTCGGGTTTAGGGTTCTGTGCTGTTCTTTCTGTGCCCTTCCTAGGGCTTGATGGGGTTCAGGGGGTTAAACGGGTCTACGGTTTAAAGGGGTTTAGGATTTAGGAATTAGTTTAGGACTTAGGATTTGTTTAAAGGGCCTCTCTTGGATTATGTTTTTTTGTTAAAGGTTTTCTGCGCACCCGTTTCTTAGGCGTTTATTTTTTTCTGGAAGGCTGATGCAGGGGACAGGGACACCGTGAATGGAATGGGGTATCCATTAAGTCTGGGTGCTCCTTAGGAGACAATTTTTTTGCATGATACGAAGTTATGAACACAAAGATTGTTATCATGGGGTCTAAGGCGGCTTATAGAACTAAGGTCACCCGCACATATGCCCTAGGGTTATAAACAACTGTGGCGAAACTCACTTCCTTTTACCCAACCGACCAAGTCAGTGTTGCTTTCCGTCTAGGGCTCTGGTTTGGGGCTTGGGGGGGGTGGGAGGGGGGTTATTTACTGGTGGGTTTTGGGTTTTGGGTTGGGATGCAGCATGTTTGGTGTCTTATCGGAGCTTTTGGCAGGTATTTTTGCAGGGTTGGGTTTTCGATGCGCTTTTCGAACGGTTGAGGGCGATTGGACCGCTACGTGTGCTCGAAATCTGTACGACAAAGAATTTGTTAGGGCTTTGGGCGCAAACGTTGTAAGTAAGGCGGTGGACTTGCTTCAAGATCGAGAAGCACCTGCCTAGACCGCAACACTCGAAACCGTGTTTCTTCAACTCGCATCCAGGATATCTTCGCCGGCTTCAACGTGCGCATGCGAGGCCGCTTCTGAATTTTGAGTTTGCGCTGGGGTCTGCCCTACCGGTCCGAATTCGACAGGGCGACTATGCGGGTTGGCACAAGTTATTTTGCGCAAGACAAGCCACGAAGCCCGAAACCTCAGACCCTAAACCATAGGCTCGACCTATCAGTCCAAAAGACACTCGAAATCTACATCCCAAATCCCCATGAGCATCCTCCTGGGCCCCTTCAAAGAGTGTCAGACCGAGCGCTTTCGACGCAGGAGTCGGGAAGTTGAGTTGAGGGTGCTGCGGGGCTCAGGCCATAGGACTGAGGCGGGTTCAGGGCTCAGGGTTCGGGGTTGAGGGTGTAGTGTTTAATGCAGACTGACTCCTGACGAATACACCTCCCGCTCCCTCAACAAGGCTTAAGAGGATCATATTGCAAACCCTTCTGAATTCGTCCATACCTTCCCAGTGCCTACAAGAGGGATCAAGCCCTCGGCCCTAAACTCCCAAATGCCAAAAGCCGCACACCCTAAAGCGAGAAGCTCTTTTCCTCAGCGTGTTTATCACATACGGAGCTCCACAGGAAACGCTAACCCCCAAAAAGCCCGAGACAGCCTTAAAGAGTCCTCAACAGCTTCAACGGCACCAGAAAGCCGCAAGCAGTCTCAAAGGAGACCGAAAAGCCTCAAAAAACCGCGGCGGAGCCCGAAACTCTACAGCCCAAACCCTAAGCCCTAAACCGAAACGCCTAAACCCTAAACCCTTCAGTTCAGAGCCCCCAAAGAGCCCTCTGAAGAGCCAAAGAGCCCCTAAAGAACCCTTCAGAGCCCTTAAGTGCCCTTCAGAACCCTTTAAAACCCTGAAAGAACTCTTCAGAGCCTCCAAAGAGCCTCCAAAAAGCATCCAAAGAGCCTTCAAAAGAGCCCCTAAAGAGCCCCCAAACGACCCCCAAAGAGCCCCTGCAGAGCCCCAAAGAGCCCCTAAGAAGCTTGGGCCTTGACAAGGCGAAGCCTCCAAGCACGTGGATGCCTTGGCCTGGGCGACTGGGCCCTTTTGTAGAGTAGAGCTTAGGGGGTTCTAGGGGTTTTGGGGGTTTTGGGGGTTTAGGGGTTTTGGGGTTTTGGGGTTTAAGGGTTTTGGGGTTTTTGGGGTTTAAGGTGTGTGTACAGTGTGCGCGCGGTGGGTGCGCCTTTACCTTTTGCTTTAGGAGTAGGGGCGCACCGCTGTTGCCAGCTGCTCCCAGTCGCCCTTGTCAAGAAGAGAGCCGGCTCCAAGTCATGAAGGGTTTAGGGTTTAGGGTTTAGGGTTTAGGGTGTCGAAAGGAGTGCTCTATTCTAATAAATTAAGGGCCCCTATATTACCAGAACCACGGTTTAGGGTTCCTTATGAAGGGGTATTTTAAGGGTTCCTTACGGGTTCACGGATTTAGGGGTTTAGGGTTTAGGCCTTGGGTGCATATTATTTTTCCTCTACTGGGCCTAAGAGGGTCTGATTTGCGCAAATATTTCAGTTGCTTTAAGGAGCCAATGTAGATAATATACAACAACATACCGTAATATACTATAATGCTATAGTGTCAAAGCATCTACTGTAATATGTCGGAATTTATTGTAATATGCCATAATATACCATGATGTGTCTTATCATTATCCTAAACTGGGCCCTTCCTAATCTTGGTTGTCTGCGGGTTCTATAAGGGGTCACAACAACCTGCACCCTTAAACTCTGAACCGATAAGATCCAAGGAGAAAGGTCGAGAGTCGTCCTTCAACGCTGCGGCCCTGTTCTACACCAAGGACCGGGCGTGTTAGGCTTTAGTTTTGGTGTCTGGTAGGCGGGTACACCATCCTATAATGTTGCAGGGGCTCTAAGGAGGAGATGGTTCCCAAAAACCATGGTGACCCCCATATGAAACCCAAAACCCACCAACCCTAAACCCACCAAGCTCTAGACCGTACGAGCCTTCATTTTCCCTCGGCGCCAAGTCCTTCGCACAAGCTTAAAGCCATCCTTCCTACCTGCGGCCGTTAATGACGAAGGCTTGGGTTGAGTTTAGGGTTCGGATTAAGCATCCCCTGAACCCTAAAAATAAACCCTAAACCCCTAAACCCCTAAACCCTCTAGGGCTGTTCAGGGATAAGGGGTTAGCGTTTCGGCTTGAGGCCATGTGTATTGGTCTAGGTTTTCCGGTTTGTTAGTGAACGCTTTAGGGTTTAGGGTTTTGGGGGTTAAGGTTTAGGGTTTAGGGTTTAGGGTTTTAGGGTTTTAGGGTTTTAGGGTTTAGGGTTTAGGGTTTAGGGCTTAGGGTTTAGGGTTTAGGGTTTAACCCTAGGCCCTAAACCCTACACCCGGGATACATGTTTCTCACGAAGAAGAGGGCTGAGAAGGTCACGATCACGGCTTAACTTTGGGGGGATTTGTGAGATCAGGGTTTCGGCTTGCCTTCCTCCGGTGGCTCAATCCTAAACCCTAGAACCCAAAGGCTTAAATGCCAGACCCCTAAAATCTTAAACCCTAAACCCCTAAACCCCTAAACCTCTAAACCCCTAAACCCTTAAACCCTAAACCCCTAAACCCCTAAACCCCTGAACCACCTTAAACCCTGAAACCCCTAAACCCTGAACCATGGTTGTGGTCTTGCTCAAGATTTGTTGATTCCAGGGGTTCCACGTTTCCAAGGCCAGGCTGAAAAAGGGTAGTTCCCTAAACTATGGTTTAGGGGCTTAGGGTTTAGGGGTTTAGGGTTTAGGGGTTTAGGGTTTAGGGGTTTAGGGGTTCAGGGGTTTAGGGTTTGCGGTTTAGGGTTTTGGGCTCCTTACAGGGACCAAAATCTATTGAGGGTTTCTGTAAGTGTACCATGAGGGTTCTAACGGGTTTTAGAGAATTACCCAAAAGAAGATACTCCGCTCCAACCCCCCCCCCCCGCCCCCCCAAAGCACTTAAGTAGCCATAGTCCCTGAACTCCAAACCCTGAGTCATAGACCCTCAGCCATTAGCCTAAACCTTAAAGCTGCAAGTAGAAACCCCAAAGCATTAAACATGATCTCTAAAGCCTCCTACCCGGCAGGTCAGCAAAGGCAACGTCGGCGTCATGCGATCTCGTGACCTGAAAGTCATCACGCAGAGCCCTTGCTGATTTCACCCCAGGGTTTAGGGTTTGGGCGTTGGTTGACCAAAAAAGCCTAAACCCTAAACCAAACCTACTAAACCCTGAACCCCTGAACCCTTAAACCCTAAACCCTAAACCCCAAATCCCCAAACCCTTTCACTTTGACTTAAGTTCCTAGAAGCTTAGGGTTTGGGTTCCTTAAATCCATGAAACCCCAGTCAGCCCAGTCAGCTTTATGCGGCTTGGTAGGAGTGACTTCGATCTCTTCTGCAGCAAACTTCCGCCCCTGTCTCATCTTTAACCCGAAACCCTAAACCCCAGACCCTAAACCCTAAACCCTAAACCCCAAACCCAAAATGGCTACGGCTCAAGCTGTTTGGCCCGAATCTCTGCCCCACTGCCCCCCGACTCCGCCCTTGCCTGATCCGACATCTTCCTCTCCTTTGGCGGCATCCCTGGCGGCCAGTCCTTCCTCCTCGAGTACCTCTTTGTTGCGAACCATCAGGAAGGGTGAGGTGGTGACCGGGGCGGCCAGCTCTTCTTTTCCGACTACCTCTTCACCTGTGTGCCCTGACTTCCTCGACATCGTGAACGACCTCGCGGTGGTGCTGGGTGACTTTGCTGGCCTGCTTCTGCCAAGTCATCTTGTCGACTACCTCCTCACCTCTGGGCCTTGACTTCCTCGACATTGTGGACGACCCCATCGTGGTGGTGCTGGGTGACTTCGCTGGCCTGCTTCCTCGTTGTCTTCGTGCTCACCTGGTTGGCTTCTGCCTCTCGCTGTTGGTCAGATGACGGACAATGAGGAAACAGTACCTGCTGCCCTGTCTTCCGTTCTCGATATGCAGGTGGACGTGATTGGGTCGCCCACTGAGGTCGCTGACACGTCGGACGTTGACATTGTCAACTCTCCCGTCTCTGAGGGGGGAACCTTCATCAAGGAGGAGGAGAAGGTCAAGACCAAGCTCGAGAAACGAAAGCGGGAGCGGAAAAAGCAAAAGGATGGCATGGCCCCCCCCGTCTTCAACACCGTTCCGGACAGTGAAGATGAGGACCTTGAGAGTCCCTCCAAGAGGTCCAATGGGGTGCCCAGTGGATCTGGAGAGCGGCCTCTTCGTGCTTCTGACATCAAAGAGATCCTCGTTGGCCATGTGCAAGAGATGAAGAATGCCTGGACTTCCTTTCAAGGTAGGCTTGATAGGGTGGAGCAGGAGCAGACCAAGACCAATGACACGATGCGCTCTTTGTTGGACAGGACCCAGGTTGTCAAAAGGATGTCCTCCACCAGCGACAAGTGGCACAGGAACAGGCAGTCAACCTTGACAGCCTCACAACCGATGTCAAAAACATGAAGGTCCGTCTGGATGCGATGGAGAAAAGTGGGAGGAATTTGGCGGCCCCGCCTGTAACTGCGGCTGGCAACCCTGACCCATGGGGTGAATTTCTTCGTAGACGTGATCTTGGACATGCTTCCGAAGGTGCCAAAGCTGCTGGGGGTGCTTCTGGATCTGGAGATGTGCCTGACAAGGGTGATCTTTTGACCGAGGATGAGAAGAAGACATTGGTGCTCGGAGGGTGGCTTCAAGATACAAGGAGGAGCACCATCGAAGAAGAATCCGCCTTTCTTTTCGAGCTTCCCGAGGTGAAGAACATTGTTGATGCCGAAAAGCTGCTGGTGTATGGACCGCGTCGCTCCGTTGGCGTGTTGAAGTTCAAGATTCGCGATGGGGAAACCGAGAAGGAGATGCGTGAGCGCATGTGGCAAGTCATCCGGGTCTTGGCACAAGCAAAGCACATCTTGCCAAGCACAAGGACGGCTGGGGATGATCGATCGCTGTGGGCTAGTTTCGTGAAGACCAAGAACGCCCGCCTCCGAAGCACCCACGTCAGCATGATTCGGAGGGTGACTATGTCCTTGGCGAAAGATGCTCACCACGCCAGCGGTGGCAGGCAAGGGAATGGGTTGAATTTGCAAACTACTGCCTACGACTGCGACTGGAACTTAGGTACAATCTGGTGCGGTGCCCTCAAACTCGGCAGTTCCACCCATCGCGTCCCGAAGGAAGAGGAAACAGTTGTCATGACAGGGGGGTGGGTGAGCATCACAGCGGTCGCAAGAACGGCACTCTGTTCTACCGAGGAGGCAAAGCGTGCCTTCGAGGTTGAGCTGTGATCGGGGCAGAGACCATGTTTCACCCAAGAGGATGAGATGAATTCACGTGCAGGGGGTGACGTTTGTTCCTCTCCTAAGGAGATTGGTGGCCCGCCTTCTGGCTTGTGTGCAAAACATCGCTGGGGACGAGTTGGCCAATGGAACATTGCAGGGCAGAAACTTGACTTGCTCGACGTCGCCGCAAAGGACCTTGACATTCTCTTCGTTCAGGAGATCTCGCGGGACAAGCCGGGGTGGGAACAGCTGGATCGGGATGAATTCCACTGGGTCGTACATCGCAAGGATGAGCAATGGCGTGGGGTTGGAATCGGCATCGCTGGGGATAAGTTTGATTCAGTCATCTTCAAGAGGGCCACGAGCAGAGGCATATGGGTGGTTGCTCGTATCGTTGGGATCGGGAGGCTGGTTCTTGGCTCCATACATTGTCACACCGGTGTCACTAACGCTGTCTACCAAGCTGCAGTCCAACGAGTTCTTCAGCTCCTGCCCGCGAAAATATAGGCATCTTCCTCTGCTTTGTGTTGACGCAAATGAGGTCCCCAGATGGGTTCAGGGTGACTCCTCCGCACTTGAGGTCTCTGACAGTGGGGCGAACCTCAATGCCCTCCTCCATGAGAGCATGCTTCAGGGGATCAAGCCGGTCTCGCCTCAAGCAGTTTTCGCACGTGCCTGGACCCATTTCCCTCGTGATGAACGGCGCTCAGGAAGGCACATCGACATGCTGCTCGGCCGCCAAATGCACGTCACCGCCTTTGAAATTGACCCCGACCGACGCCTAGCCATTGGCTCAGATCACGCCCTACTTTTTGCTGACATTTGGGTAGCTGGTGGACCTGCTCGAGTTCGTTGGACAAAGGATTCGCGCGCCAGATGGGTCACCCAGAACCTTCCGGATGTGATCATTGTTGATGATGGAGACCTCACCGCGCTTGCCAAAACATGCACGCGTCCCCGGACATCTTCGGCTTTCAAAGATGATGCTGAAACACATGCTGCCATCCGCTGTGCCAAGGAGACCAATGATGCTCGTGAGTGGAAACGGGTGCACCGACTTCGTCAAGCCAAACGCAAGAAATGGCGACGTGACCGCCTCTCCGCTATCCTCTCCGGGGATTGGGACCAGTACCGTATGTTGCAGGCTGAGAAAAAGCGTGTGAAGGGGTGGTGGGGTGACTTGCTACGGGATCGTTCTGCGGCACAATTGACCTCTGAGATTCAAGACCACCTCGAGGAGAAGATGACAGACCGCGCAAGACCTGGACAGTGGGACGCTCAACTGCAAGACATCATTGACAGCTGCGATCCCGTACAGGATTTCGAGCCGTTCCAATTGCACGAGGTCTGGGAAGAACTTCAGCACATGAAATGTCGCAGCGCTGTTGGGCCCGACCTGATAGGTGTTCATCTTTTGAGGGCGATTGCCTCACATGAGACCCTCGGGGAGCAGTTTGTTGAGCTAATTAACCACATCGTGCGGACTCAAGAACTGCCAGCGAGTTGGGAGGAAAGCTTTCTGGCACTGCTCGCCAAGGTGCCATTGCCGCAGCGACCCGCAGACCTTCGCCCCATCTGCGTGTCAAGTGCATTTAACAAGTGCGTCAACCGCCTCGTCTGCTCACGTGTCCTGCCTGTCCTCCGGGGTGGCTCGAAGATCAGCTGTTGTGGACGTGGACGCCAGGCAGCAGATCTGGTGGGGTGTGTGACCAGGATCCGGGATGTATGTCATGAATGGAAAATGCCGCTTCTTCTCTGTAAACTTGACGTGGCAGGTGCCTTCGATCGCGTCAGAAGGGGTGAAGTTGCTGGCTTCCTCCGTGACAAACTTTGCACTTCTGGGATGAATGCTGAACTCCGCTACATGTTGTCTCAACTGCGTACTCACAGCCTGCGAGGCACGGCTCCAGGAGGCATTGACTTTGTCGTCCGCCCTGATGTGGGGATTAAACAAGGAGCACCAGAGAGTGCTGAAATCTTCGGCCTACTCGTTGACTCCTTGATGTCCTCATTGACAATGTGTCGGCAATGGCTCGCCATGGGCAAACCGTTTGACGATGTTGACATTGACCTCCTCTTCTATCAGGACGACATCTTCCTGGTTGAAACTTCTCTCACCAGACTCTGTCGCAAAATCAAGGCTATTGACAAATGCCTCAAGACTGCAGGGCTGAGCCTCGCCACCGAGAAGACCAAGATCGTCGCCAACGAACATTACGTTGGAGCTCGTAGGGCTGAGATCGCGGGGGACATGTTCGTTGTGTCTGAGGCGGGTGAGGCTCTCAAGGTTCTCGGTCTCAACTTCAGCTTGAGTCGCTGCCAAGCTGAGCAGTCCCAGGAACTCATTGCCCGCACCAGAGAGGCTGTCTCCGCGCACAGAGATATCCTTCAGGCACATGGTGCATGGGTGCATAAAGTCCATGTCATGAAGAGCCTTGTGGAAGCCCAATTCAACTGGATCGCTGGGGCAGTCTATTGGTCTCGTGAGGAGCCGCACAGCTTGAACCTCTTACAGCTTCACACCCTGCGCTCTGCTTTTCATCTCCATCGCCTCGATGCAGAGTCTTGGGTTGATTGGAATGCCCGCAGTTTGCGGTTTGTTCGCGTGTGGATGGTGAACAATTCAGTGCCGAGGTGGTCCTGCAGAATTCTTGAATTGCAGCATATGCTCCATGGGCACTGGGCACGGAGGACAGAAGTTGTTGATGATGTGCCCCTGCCGTGCCCAGCCATGCGATGCCTCCAGTGGCGTTGCACGAGTTGGTGGAGAACCCAACAAGCTCTAAGCCCGCGCGTGTCACTTCGCCACCCTGGGCGATTCTATGCGTCCAACACGGAACGCCAGCTTTCAGCAACTCATGGAAACTTGTGGTTTGTTGAGGCTCAGGATCGCAGCAGGTGGGCACAGGAACGGAAAAACTATGTTGCTGAGTGGGATGTCAAGTGGACTTCCGGAAGACAGCTTTCCATCCGATGGTAAAGGGGGTGCTTGATTGCGATGACGTTGCCCCTCTTGAGGTGACTGAGTACTTGGTCAAGCTCCTCCCCTGCCCCTCGACCTGCCACTGTCTCCCCTTGGACTTCGGGTTTCTTCTCCAGTTCTCTGTCGCGCATCAAGTTGAATGACAATGGGATGACTGGGATGTTGTTTTCACGTGAACTTTATCCAGAGTGCTGATGTATTACTTCCTTCATGCAGAACACGTGCCTGAATATGCCTTCATGTTTTCTTGTCGAGCTCACTGTCTTCGTCATGTCATGGCATCTACCTGACTGTTTGTGATGACGTCTTGGCTCGAGGTTCTCCTTCCTGCAGGTGAAGCCCCTCGAGCTGTTACTCTGCCCTTGGTGCCGAGTGGACCCCTATGGCGCCGACCCCTCCATGGCTGCTCTTCCTTCTCCTCGGCGCCCTCGCCATGGACGACGGCAAGAACTTCAAGTACTGGGAGAAATGGAGCGATGAGGAGATTGCGGCGAGAAAGGCTGAGGCGTGGGAGGACAACTCGTGGCCTACGTCCGCTCCTCCTTCATGGAACGTGACGACAGGGTTGACTTTGTCATCCTCGTCAGCTTCCCCTACTCTTGGTGGAGTTTCTTCCTCGACCTCGAGCCTTGCACCTGCCATGCAGCCAGGAGCTTGGGGTGACGTTCCTGTTGAGATTGTCGCCTCCGCTGCATCCTCCTCGGCTACCCCCTGCTTTGTGTCTGCTGTTGGTGAACCGTCTTCAGGTTGGGATGTTGCTGGCACCGAGGAGACGCGGCCGCTGACCTCGTCGACACCCGCTTCAAGCTCGACCTCGTGGTGGCCCACCTCTACCTGTACTACGTCGGGACATGGTGAAGCTGCACACTCGACCTCGCCTCCTGTGCCAACGTTGCAGACAAGCTGGGATGAAAACATCAGTCTTGCGATGCAGGATGAGGAGCTCTTTGAATTCCAGCAGGGTGACCTCCTGGCCCCAATCCCTGAGGACCTGCCCCTTCCATTCCGGTCCGAAGCACTCTCGGGGCATGCAACGGCGCAGCCGGCAACACCGTCGCCAGACACGGAGGATGGGCAGCGTCCGCCTGAAGAAACAGGTCACGACCCAAAGGACGAGGAAGTGGACTGGTGGGATCTTCTACGTGATCGTCGTGGCCTTCGCGGACGTCCTCGACTCCCTTCCCCACCTCGTCAACCTGGCCGAGACCCTGCAGCCCTCGCCACGCCAAAATGCCGGGCACAAGAACATAGCCTTCCGGACCGTACAGGGAATTCTTTGAGGAGCAGCAGAGATCGCTCTCGAGTGGTCGACAGGTGGCATAACCCTGATGGCTCGGTCCGCAGCCGACTCAAAGAAAGGCTTGCTGCCGAGGCTATTGATGCTGGCCAACCTTGCCCTACTGTTGCCCAGGACCAGGCTGCAGCTGGATCGACCTCTTCCTCCTCCTCGTGTAGACTGGTGTCCTTCTATGACAGCAACCTCCTCAGCACAGCAGGAACTGAAGACATGTCCACGAGCGCTGGGGATGTTGGCATGCAAAGCCATCCGCACGAGACGTCCTCAAACTCCTCCTCGGGACCCTCGGCTCAGTCTTCTGTGGGCTTCTGGCGTGGAGGTGAATGGCAAGCCCGCGCGAGAACGCCCTCAGAGGAGCGCTCTCATCGTGGAGGAAGTGGGCCCCAACGAACGCTACGTAAACTGAACCGGATGAAAGCCTACTTCGCAGGAGAGTGGAAGCCTTCCTGGCTTGTGAAATACATCGATGAAAAACACCAGCGCTTCGCCGAGACCACTGCCTGCCCTACTTCCGGGGATGGTGAGACTGACCCCGACAAGCATCCGCCCACCGCAGATGCTACAGAGCAACCTTTGGGAGAGTGGGTGGTCAGAACAGAAGCTCAAACTCAATCTGAGCAGCCAGCTTTGGCAGATGGTGATCCACAGCAGACCACTGACACTGACCCCTGGTCTGGTCAATGGCAGGATGCTTCTACTTGGTGGGGAACGTGGTCTTGGACGAGTTCCTGGTGGTCTTCGGGCTGTTGGACATCGACTTCTACCTCGACTTGGCCGCCGAGCTCGACGTCGTCATCATGCCCGCCGCCCACCACTACGGCTGCCACGAAATGGGGGGACGTGCAGGACTTGCCCTGGCCTCCTCTGCCCTTCCCTGGAGGGACCCTCTCTGAAGAGCCAGACACAGACCCATTCTCTGTGCACGGTGCAGGTGCCCTTGCCATTTGGGGTGCTCTTCCAGTTGGACCGCTGGCTGTTGGGGGTGACTTCTGTCTGACTCCAGCCTGCCTGGGCTGGTTGGGACTGGCCACTACTACATCCACTTCCATGTCTGCGCCGGAGGGGGATTTTGACTTCCCGCCGAATCATGGACTCTTTCCTGAAGTTCGTCCTATCGGCAGTGACGATGAGGCAAGCCCCTGGGTGCTCCAGCTTACTGGCTCTGAACGTCGTCATCTGCAGGAAGCTGGACTGCCGACCCGAGCCCTGCAGCGGGTTGAAGACCTCCTTCAATCCCTTGAGGACCATCAGTCGGCTGACCACGGGCCGGAGGCTCGGTGGGCGTTGGGCAGACTTGCACAAAGGGTTGATGAGGCTCTTGACAGCATGCAGTCTGCCCTGAACATCTTGGCACGCCAGCTACAACCACGGGGAGTTTGGCCGGTGGTTCGAGCTCCTCGCGCACAAGTAGATCAGCTGCGGCTTTTCAACTGGATGAGGAGATATGAGGATATTTTCTCGCAGACCTTTGAGCACCACCTGGCCACACCGCTGCAGCCGACGGAGTTCCCTGGTAGTGGTCAGTACGGACAACTGGTGGCGCAACAACAACAACCCGAACGTGCTCGGTCTCGAAGCCCGCCACGTGCTGCACCTGCTGCGAACCCCACCTCGCCCGAGTCTGCGGAAGAGGAATTGGAAACAGCGGCTGATGAGGTCCTGGAGGAGCACCCCGACTCTGCTGTGGAAGTCCTCCCGCCGCTGCACGTAGCTGTTGGCGTCGCAGCGATGCCGGGCATGCAAGAAGTTCTTCAAGGTCAACTACAAGGTATATGGGTGGAGGATGAGGTGACCCTCATGGAGACATCGGCGACTACCTCCACATCCACCACGACCTCCTCGACGCTTTTGTGGACAAGCCTCTTCATTGGGACGACGTCGACCACATCCACGACCTCGGTGACCCCTACACCGGACGAAATCGTGAGAAACGCCACCGCACGCGAACTGGTGTACGCTAATACAGCCGACGTTATCGATATGGCCCACAGACTCCTGGCCAGATCTCGTGTCTTGCTCAGGAACCAACGACTGCTCTGTGAGGCAGTGGAGGAGGCCTTGTTGTGGTTTCCGACGCCACCTCAGGCCCCGGCACTGAACTCACCCACTATGGACGCCAGACTTTGGGGTGTGATTGCGTGCGCTGCTGCTACGGGGGACCCGTCCCATGTGCCGTCCTCGTCTTCCCTGCATCCTGCGGAACCTGAAGCTGTTCTACTTCAACCTGGACTGCCCGAGTCAGTGGAGGAAGTTGAAAGCAGCCTACCTCACCTCACTCGCCGCACGACTGCTGGTCTACGTCGACGTCTTTGGCAACACCATGTGAGTGGTCTCTTTTCGGCTTCAGGTGTGGTGCTCCCTCCAGCTGGCGGACAGTCCTCGGACCCGGACCTCTACCTCCTCCAGGTCAACGAATCCCAGGAAGTTCCTGTACCCGCAGCTGCTGCGCCTCTTCTGCGCCCCCCACGCCGTGGAGACAGCTACTTACGACGCCGTCATCGTGTTCCTCGACCTCCACCTCAACCTCTTCGTCTTCAAGCTGGTCGCCCTGACCTGGAGGACCGTGAGGCCGTGAGGTCGAGGTGACGGGTACTGGCTTGTCTGACCTTGGTGGTACTTCAAGTTCAGGGCCCTCGGAAAACTTCGTGTCGGTGGGAGCCTCTGGTCCTGTGGCTTTGTCGGTGGACTACCTGCTACCTTCGTCGGTGTCTTCAGATGTGTCTGGCTCCCTGCTTAGTGGCGATGCTTTGCCGATGGGATCCTCTACTGGTCGTGTACTGAGACAGTCTGAAAGCGTCCGTGACAGAAGTCGGAGTCGTGACTCTTAGCTTCGTGTATTTGTTGTACTTTTCCCTGTCTGTTTTGCCTGGTGTTCTGCCGGCTATTTGGGATGATCTTACTCCTCTCTGTGAGATCATCCCGGCACTTAGTGCAAGCCTCGCTTGGCGGGTTTTTGACCTTCGTTGCTGCGGAGTAAAGAGACCAGTGCACTTAAAAAAAAAACCCCAAACCCTAACCCTAAACCCCAAACCCTAAACCCCAAACCCTTCGACCTCTCGACCCTTGAGCTTCTAGACCGAAAGCCCAAAACCCCCCAAAAAAGCCCTCAACCCCTGACCACAAGCCCTAAACGCTTCCGTCCCGAACCCGTAAACCAACCCATCAACAACTGAGCTCCTAAACCCCCGAGCCCCTGGATTCTCAAACTTTCAACCCTCGGCCCTGAAACCTCAGACGCTTAAACCCCTGAGCCTGAACACCCTCAGCCCCTAAACCCTAAGCTGCATGCGTATGGGTAGTTCTCTAAAAATTAGGGTCCCTTGTAGGGTCCTTTTTATAAGGGTGCCGTACTTTTTTGGGAACCTCAAACGGGACCCTGATTTAGAGAAGTACCCATATCCTCCCCTCTCCGCCCCGACCCGCTCCCTTTGGACATATCCACAGTTAACCCGCAGATGCAACTTGACGGTTATGGAGGTTCAGGCTTTTAGCATCCTGCTTTTGAGTCTTGTCACCGGACTCAGGGCTTTGGGTTTGGGGTTGTATGCGAGCCCCCAAACCCCCACCAAGCTTAAGCCCTGAGCGGCGTAAGGTTCAGGGTTCAGGGCCTCGGGCTTCTTAGGGCGTAACGTTCAGCGTGAGGGCTTAGGGTTCGGAGTTCAGGGACGTAGGGTTGCGCCTCCTTCCGCCCAGGAACCTGAATATCGTGCGGCGCCCCAGGGGGGTTGAATTCATTTTCTGCGCTTCCATCGGCTCGGGGCTTCAGACTCCTCGTCTCGGGGCCGCCCTAAGCCCCCTAAACCCTAAACCCTAAACCCTAAACCCTAAACCCCTAAACCCCTAAACCCCAAACCCTAAACCCCTAAACCCTAAACCCTAAGCCCTAGCCTGGAAACCCCGGAGGTTCAAGAACTTGGCCTGGCCTATTCCTTATCTTCAGGCTTAGCTGGTTATTGTAAAATTAAGTTAATATGTTGAATTATGCTATATATAATGTACTATATAGCACACATTATCACATTGTCACATTATACATACATACATACATACATACATACTTACTTACTTACTTACATCCATCCATCCATCCATCCATCCATACATACATACATACATACATACTTACTTACATCCATCCATCCATCCATCCATCCATCCATCCATCCATCCATACATACATACATACATACATACATACATACACACTCACACACACACACATATATATATATACATATTATACCGATATGTATATCCAGAAAACACGGATTTGTGCTGCTTGGCTATAGGATTAGTTCTGGGCTGGCAAAGGCCAAAGGTTTGATGTGTGACGTAACATAGGTGCCTACATAGTTACCGACAGTATGTTTTTGGGTTCCTTATCATAACTATGGGGCCTGAAGGTGTCGAACACCCTCCCCGGAATAGTTATGCTTTGGGTTTCTGAATTGTAGAATATACCCCAAAATTGATTATTGAGGCCCCTACATTGCCGCCCTACATCACCCCAAGTCGCAAATCGGGACTGCTCCAACGTCACACCACTTGCCCAGTGTTTAGCTAAGTAGGTTGGGCGATCAATTGAGAAACCACGGAAAGACGTGGCGCGACTCGGCAAGGTCAAGAACTCTATTCCGCAGACTCCCTAAACACTAAACCCTGAACCCCTAACCCTAAACCCAAAACTCTAAACACTGGCAAACCAAAGCCCCCCGGATGCCCTTCCATGCTCACCGTTTGGTCTTGGAGTCCTAGAGCGCTCACACAAGATCATAAGCCAATCTTGTGCTCGAAAGATCCCCCGAAAAATAAGGGTGAGGGTTTAGGATTAGGATTTAGAGTTTAGGGAAAGATCCCCCCAAAATGAGGGTGAGGGTTCAGGATTAAATTACGGCTTTCCCCATCAGCTCCAAAAACTCCGACCCCCGGCCCAGCCATCTAAATGCGCTTTTTTTTTGCCGAGTCTGTCAAGACCTTTTCAGGTCGATACAGACCCACATTTGCCTGGCCTGGCGGCGTTCCCTGGAATCATGCAGAGACCTTAGGAACACGCTTCTTGCCTGCTACGTCCAGCCTCCTCGCCACCACGGCCAGCACGGGTGGAGCCGATGGTGCCTATTGTGCGAGAAGTTCGCCACAGAGTCGCACCTAATGTCCGAGGTGCACACCGTCAGTATGCGTCGTTGGGTGGATGCTCCCCGTTCGAGCACTCCCAAACTAAGAACGGACCAACTCCTGAACTCGCCGGTTTGGTTTGAACAGGGAACGCCAAGCAAGGGCCGGCACTGACAACAGCGGTTCTGGACATCCGGTTGCAAGCACTCGTCCAATGCGTTCCAGCTGCTTGCGAAACTCGTTTGGTGGAGACTGCGTGCTGAGACAGAATGCAAAGTCTGAAGGACGTTCCCACGACTGGGCCCGGATTCCACGGAGCTGTCCATGCGTGTGCGTTTCGTGCAGGCGGCAGATGCAGCCAGGAGTTTGAAATGTGCAGCCAGGCCTTTGAAATGCAATAAGGAAGCCTAAATAATTACCAAGATATAAAGGAGCCCCAAACCCTATTCTAAACCCTAAACCCTAAATATGCTAATTATACAGACCCCTACATTGCAGCGTCCGGAGGCCGGCTGCAGACCCACAAATCCGCACTCCTGAACCCGAGTGAAACCCCACCCTCGTAGTTGTGGAGGCAACCTTTAATTTTTTTGGGGGTTTAGGGTTTAGGGGGTACTATAATCTCTATATAATCACAGTTTTTCTCCCAACGGTTAACCTTCAGTTCTCCAGGATAACGGACCAGCAGGCCACTTTCCATCTGAGCCCCGGACCCCAGCGCCAAACCCCAGGCCCCTAAACCTTAAACCTTAGACCCTAAACCCGTAAACCCCTAAACCCCTAAACACTAAACCCCTAAACCCTAAACCCTAAACCCTTTATCGATACCTGATAGGAACCCAAGAGAGTATCCTCAAAGCACCGCAAAAACCCCAGCAAGGCCCCAACGCCGAAATCCTGAGGTGGGGGTTTCCGAAAAACAGGGGACCCTAATATAGTACCCTAAATAGTAGGATCCTTATTATAAGGAGCCCAAAATAAGGTACACCCCCTAATTTTCAGAAAGTCCCAGGTGGATAACTTCTCCTTCTACTTCGCTTCGGAGCCTCGGATCAAGAGGGTTTAGGGTTTAGGGCTTAGTTTAGGGTTTAGGGTTATAGGGTTTAGGGTTTAGGGCTTAGTTTAGGGTTTAGGGTTTAGGGCTTAGGGTTTAGGGTTTATAGGGTTTAGGGTGAGAAGCAAACGGGGGTCCGTCCGTTTCAGGGGAATTCCGAGGCTTTTGGGGGCCTTCAAGATGCTGGGAGGCACCAGGCCCTTGGGGGACGTTCGGTCTTTTTTTTTAATCCTTGCAGTAGAGTACCGAGAGAGCCCGATACCCCTTAATTAATAGGAATATACCTTAAATCATCATGATATATCACGGCCCCTATAATTTAAGGTTTTTTCCTTGTTTAAGGAGTATTGGGCTCCCTGGGTAGGTAACAATGAACTTTTTCGGTGTACTATAACTCCTATGTAATCCCAAATATACTCCCAAAGCTTAACCTTCGTTCCCCAAAAGACTCAACAAGTAGGTGAATGTTTTTTGTTACCCAGTGGCTTTGGCGTTTTCGGGGTCGCAGGGTTGGAGAGTTTACGGCCTCAAGGCTTTGGGAGTGTAGGGTTTCAGGGTTCACTGCCCCCAAACAGGTGGGCCTTGAGACTTTTGCCTTCCTGACCTCAAGTTTTCTGTTGTTGTCGGATTCCTGGTTAGGGGCTCCTATCACGGGTCAATAAAGGATTTGTACTGCTACAAGGGATACTATACGATTTAGGGCTCAGGGCCCGGAAGATGGTTCCGACGATTTTTGGGCTTTCGTGCTCCTGTCGAAAGACTCTCTGCGCTGCGCGCCTCAGGCCCTGAGCCTTAAAAGCAAAAAGCAAGACGCCCCGAAACTTTAAGCTGAACCCATCACCACCTTTTTCGGCAAAGCTTACACCAGCGAAGCCAACAAAGACGCATGTACAGAACTGGCAGGTCAAAATATGGAATGCCCATCGGCCCATGGGCCCCTATCTAGCCTCAGACCTAGAGAGCCAAACACCCCTTAATTAAGGAATATACCTTAGATCATAATTAATAATTATAATGCATATTAAGGCCCCTATAATTTAAGGAATGTACCGTAAATCATAATTATTAGTGGTAGGGCCTTTATAACTTAAGGTATATTCCTTATGTATGGGATATTGGGGTTTCTGGGGAGAAGAGACCCTAAACCTCTAAGCTTGACTTTGGGTCTGTGAAAGGTGGGCTTCTACCTGAACAACCTGCTCCTCGACCTTTAGCGTGCGTGCGTGGGTCGAAAGGGTCTGAGCTCTAGGAAAGGATGGTGTGTAGGTTTTTGGGGGTTTGGGGGGTTTAGAGTTTAAGGTTTGGGGTTCGGGTTTAGGGCTGTAGGGGCTCATGGTTTCAATTTTTGGCGTTTTTGGGGTTTAAGATTAGGGCTGAGGGTCTAGCGCCCGTTGTCTTTTGGAAAG